TGGGGAGGTTGAAGGGGGGGTTAAATGGGGGGGGGTGGTGGTATGTGAGCTCTGGGACCCTCTCCCCGCCTCTGACCCTCCTGCTGGACCAGGCACCACCCCCAGACCCTGCCCCGGGGGGGGTCCCAGGGGTTGGGGGGAGCAGGGAAAGGAGGGTTGGTCACCCGTGGGGGGGGTCTTTGGGTCGCCCAGGGTGCTCTGGGCCGGACACGGTTCCCCGTGGGCTGTCTGTGTCCCCCCCGCTTCAGATCCGTTCAGACCCCTTCCCCTCTCTATTTCCAAAACAAAAAGGGAAGTGAGAAGGGGGGGCGGGGGTGGAATTTGGGGCTAAGCCAAAATAAAACAAAGAAAATAAATAAAAGAATAAAATAAAAAAAAACCCCAATAAAACAAATCGAGTTGATTTTAGCTCCATTAAGGTCACATTAGCGAGCGGCTTTGGGAGATAAGGGCTGATAAGGGGCGCAGACCACCTAGCTCCTGCGGGCCGGGGAAGGAGCGGGGGGGGGGATGATGCTGCGAGACCCCCCACCAATGTGGGCTGCCCACCGGCAGCTGCTCTGGGCCCCAGTTCCCTCCCAGTCTGGTCCCAGTGCTGCCTTGGCGGGTGGGCACTGAGCTGGCAGATCCCCACTGGGGTATGGGGTCCCTCGCATGAGTTTGGGGTGCAGGGCTGGGTGCTGGTAGCCCCGTGGGGAGCCCCACTGGCCGTGGGGTGATGCTGGGCCTTATCTGGGCCCAGTGACCGGCTATTTCAATTAAAATTCCTAGCTGGCCTCAGGGGCTGGTGTTTGCTGATAGCCCTGACAGAGCAGAGCTAGTTTTTGTCTGGGTTGGGTCGGTATCTCTCGCACCACCGAAATAGCCAAACCGGACTGTTAGGGGAGGCTGAATAAATAAACTACCCAAATGCAGGCAAGGAAGTGAGGGGCTGGAACAGGAGGGAAAATAAATACAGTGGCTTGGGGAGGAAAGTGCTCACAGCCCCACAGCCCGGTCCTCATTTCTGCATAATGCCCGGGTTCATTCCTGGCCCCCGTCGTCCATGTTTTTAGCTCTGTCTCCATTCACGCCCGTGGGAAACCCCTGCACACGGTGCCTTATTTTCCAGGGTAAAGTCGGAATTAGGACCAAACACATTGTGAGAAACACCGAGCTCACCTTCCCCGGGAGGGTTTCGCGGTGTGTGGCGATGCTTTTCCCTCCTCTGAGATGGCTTCAAGTTGTGCTGTCCCTTCCTGCGGGCCTGATCCTGCTCTCTTTACGCTTGGTAGGAGTGTGAATTTTGCAGTGTGACTTTTGCATGCTGAAAGGATACCTGGAGGGTTTTTTTTGTTTTGGTTTGGTTTTTTTCCCCTTTTTTGGGGGCTGTTGCTCTTGCTGCCCAGACCCCAAAATTCCTAATCCCATACAGGAATGACACTGCAGCTCACTTAAACCAGCCCAGGCTCCTTGGGCTGGAGTCTCCTGCCCGTGCCAGCCACGGCAGCGGCCGTGTGCTCCCTGCAGCCCTTCGCCGTGGTCCCCACGGACAAGATCAGCTCCCGCAAACCCATTCTCCAAGTCCAGAGCTGTGCCCTATTCGCAAAGCCCCTTCCCAGCCCCCGGCTGGATTCATTGCCACGTCTAAATGGCTTGTTTGGGACTCAAAACACCAAAAGGCGAGAGCAAACAGACAGTAACATTACACCTTGGCTTGTTGATGGTGGGAGGCAGCCGGCGCCAAGGTAAAATGCTTGGCTGGGATCGAGACGAGCAGGAAGGAATTGGGGTGAGTAGCTTTATCCGCCCCTAATGACTCGGTGCGGCTGAGATTAATGGAGAGGCTGGAGTTTGGCTCTCAAGGACCCACGGAGAGATGAAGTACTGGGTGGGTCGAGTCAAAGAGGAGAGTGAAGGAAAACAGAGTTTAGCACAGGGCAGCTGGCAGCAGGGCAGGATTCGTGCCCACGACGGCCGTGGGGCTGGGCTGGCTTCTCCCCATCCCGCTCCGTGTGCCCCCACGGGTCGCATCCAGCCCTCCCTTGCTTGCAGAGCACCGACGGCCTCTGGAGCATCTGGAGGCTTTGGATGAGGCTTGTAAATCATCTCCGCAGGCAATTCCCTGCCAAAACCTGCTGCCGAGCCTGCCCAGCCCCGGCCCCGCTCCCTGCCCCGTGCCCGGGAGATTTCCCGGTGCCGCGGACATCGGCACCCGTGAGGGCACCGGGCCCTCGCCGCAGTGCCGGGGATGGACCGTGGCTCTCGGCCGCTGCATTTTGGCAGCCAGAGGCCACTGGGGGATTTCTGGGAAGAAGACTAAGAGGATCTATCACAAGTGATCATAAATCATCAGCTTCTTTTTTGACTGGCAAGTTAATTTTATTACAACTCTCCAGGGACATTACTCCTCTTTTTAACTAGGTTAGATGAAATCAGGAGAAAGCTGCTTCTAGCCGCCGTCGGGTGTTTAAACGGGAGGATTTCTATGGCAGCAGCACAACCGCAGCTCCCAAAGTATCTGATTTCTGGCAGCTATCGCTGGGACGCATCAGGATCCCGATGTGATGTCGGAGGAGCATCCGAGGCCCTGGAAACCTGACTCTGCTGGCCGGGAGCGCGATGGGGCAGCCGGCGCTCCCAAGGCACTCCTGCCCTGCCAGAAGGTTTTGTTTTTAAAGTGCTCAGAGCGAGGGAATAATGGGAATATTGACTAATGGGAATAATGGGAATAAAGGGAATAATGAGTGAGGTGGATGCACGGGGGGTTGCAAGTACGGAGCACGTGTATAGGCATCTCTAAGGAGTTTGCGAATGCTTTGAAGCAGCTGAAATGAAACTTAAAAGGGTTTTCTATATCCCCTTCTTTTTCCCAGCTACTTTCTGTCCTTTTTCATGAGTGAAATAAAACAAAAAGCAGTAGAAGATAGAAGCAATGGCAGAGAGTGAGTGGCCTGCGGCTGAGAGAAAGCAGATTCCCTCTCCAAGGCTTTCTAATAAACATCAGGGAGAGGGAAAAAAAAAAAAAAAAAGGCAGGAAAATGTGCTGCTTTTCAAAATCCGTGGAATAAAAATAACTTTGAAACTTTAGCAAGTTTTCACGGAGAACCCGCTTTCTGCCTGGCTCCGGGACGAAGGCCACGTCTCTGCTGCGGTGGCAGAGGCCGGCGGTGGGTGCGGGCAGGGTGGAAGGACATCTCGATGGGACGAAGCGCAGAATTGGGGCAGGCTGTCATCTCCTGCCCTCTATTTATCTCTTTTCTTTCCATTTTAGCCAGCTCTTACCCTTTTGAGACAAGCCAGCCCTTCCCCGGTGCTCTGCTTGGACTGGGTTTTATCACCGATTATTTTATCTATTATTTCTGGAGTTTTGGGGACCTGTTGAAATCAGGGGAAGTAAATGGAGAGAGGGTTTTTCAGCTGCTGCTACAGCAATATCTGCTGGCGGGAGAGGTTTTCTGTGCCAGAAGGACTTTGGGATTGACTTAAAGCAGAGCCCTGGCTCAAATCATTAGACAGCAGTGCCCTCTGCTTGGACACAGGAGATGTGCAGCTTTGCTTCTCTAAACTCCAAAGCTGAGCATTGAAAAGCAGGGGGGGGAAAAATCCCCCCGTGCTCTGTCACCCACGCTGGTAAAGAGGAGTGGGTCAGCGGTGGGTATGGGCAGGAATTGCTCAGGTTTGGGGGTTTGCTGTGTCACGCTCGGGAGATAAAAATACTGGTCGGTGCTAGAAGTGCTCTCACCGTCTTTTATGCAGGGGAGTTATTTTTAAAAGGGATTATTTTGGTGAAATGTCATGAATAATTCAGTGTCCCCCAGTGCTGGCAGATGGAGGAAAATTGAACTCACACAATTACATTCTGGGTTCTTGTCTGTCACTTTTTCTAAGGAGACAGCTGTAGGAAGCATCCTTCATCAAACCGTCGGGGCTACCTGCTCCTTCCCCCGTGTATTTCGGCGATGAAGAGTGTAAACCTCTGGTTTGCAGCGGGCGGACAAATTTCTGCCTTTGTGCGTGTTACAGCATCAATGTGCGGGGCTGCGCTGGGGCGATCGCCGGGGCTGAAGATGCTGAGCAGGAGCAGAGTCTCCCCGCCGAGGGTTTGCAGCCACTGGCCTGCCCCTTCCCAGCATTTGGACATGGCAGTGTTAGATTTAGGGTTGTATTTGATGGTTTTAAAGGTCTTTTCCAACCTAAATGATTCTATACCTAGACATTTTGGCCAGACCCTTTCTGCTTTTATCCCCTTTCTCCCCCAAAAAATCATCCAGGGTGCAGCCTTTCCCCATCCTCCTCTGCCGCTGGGGCCGCCTGGGTGGCCGTAGGGATGGATGACCAAGGAGCAGAATCTTCCCATCTTTGGACTTTCTGGGATTTACCCAAATTCCCAGGGATCCTTTCAAGTCAGGGCTGGGCAGGAGGTGGCGGCGGGAGCGAGACCAGGGAAGGAGGCACCTGGGGGCTGCCGGAGGGGAGAAGGTGGGTGCAGGCAGGCTGAGTGGGTGCTGGGTGCTGGGTGCTGGGTCCTGCCCTGGAGCCGGCGGCCTTTGGTCAGCAGATGGCACAAGAGCCGTGGCTGAGCGCCTTGGGCAGGGAGCAGAGCTGCTGGGGAAAGAAAAATAAAAAATAAAAAAAAATAATTGGGGAAATAAAAAGAAGTGCATCACCCTGCAGCTTGCTGAGCAGTGAGGGCAGAGCAGGAGGCACCGCAGGCGACTGACGCTGGTCCCTTCCAGCCTCCTCCACAGCTCCCAGTAAGCCCCAGCAGGAGCCCAGTCTATCATCTTTCCCACCAGCAGCTCCGTTAGGGTCGGAGTATCCCAAACTCATCCTCAGGCTTCCCACAGCTGCATCCTGCTGCTTCGCCAGGCTGCAGCCCTCCTGGCTGGGTTATTGGGACAGGAGCCAAGGGGGTATTTAACCCCCCAGGAGCAGGGGGCTGAGGGGTCTTGTGAGCACAGTGGTAAGTGGGAAAAAAAAAAAA